CGCCCCTCCGCCCCTCTAGTTTCCCCAGCTCTGACCCTCCGATCTCCACGGGCCCCCTTCTCCTTTCTGATTACATTTCGCCCCGGGCCGGCGGCTCTGGGCACCCCTCCTCGCCCTGACTGCCCCTGGCTTCGTCCCCTCCTCCCTGTTACTCCTCCCTTTCACCTGTGCCCGCGTCCTCTCCCCTCTTCCTCCCCCGATCCTGGTCCCCCAAGCGCGCGGGGCAGTTCGGACGGTGTCAGCGAGACTTTCGGGGAGGGATGGTGGAGTCGTAGGTGGTTAGAGTGCAGGCGACTACCCCGCAGTCGGATAAAGTTCATCGTCAAGTCTCCGCATAAAAGTAAAATGGAAAGACAGGCGTGCTCTCCCCTGTCGATAGCCCAACTGAGGCGCGCCCGGTAATGGAGGAAGGGAGCGGAAAAGTGTGCGAGCTATTCTAGGGCCGGCGGGTGAACTTCAGAAAAAGGCAAAGTTGCCGTGAGCCGATGGAAACTTTAGACGCTGGTGATGAGTAAGCCGGGGGCTGCTGATCTTACTCCTCTGCTCGTAATTACTGGGTTAACGGTGCGGCTCGGTCGGGACGGAATGGGATTTGTTTACTGGGCCGGCGTATTTTTAGCCGTCGGGCTGAGCCTCCCTCCTCCCGCGCCCGCCGTCTAGGTAGCTGGTCTACCGGAGGCGGCTCCTCTGGGCACAGCGCAGATATAAATGTTAAGTGGAAAGAAACTGACGGGTGGAATTTTATGTAAGGTTCTCTGCAGACTCTTCAGAAGTTACAAAGGCAAAAAGCAAGAATTAGCGGGACTTTGGCTCTTATTTTCCTTATCTTTTCATAAGGACCTATTTAAAATGCTTTTTCGAAAATCCGAAATGGGTACATTTTCAGTCTTTGTCTTTTCATGCTGTATATTTTGGAGACCTTTGAGGAGGTGGATCCCTTTGTCTTTCAGAATCTATTTCTAAGGTGGGAAACGACAAAGTAGAAGTGGTGGTAAGGCTAGTCCAAAAGGGTAGCTAATCCTAAATTTTTAAAAAAATATTTTTCTATATTATATAACTTTAAAAACGTCCCTCAGAGTAAACGAGATTGCGTTCCTGATGGGGTGGAGAAGACTGCAGGGACTTAAGCCAGGTGGCTAGGGAGAATCAGACTTGTAATTAAACATTTGCTCTGCATAATTTACAAATGAATACATTATAGGCAAACAATTATACTCTTTGTCCTCATTGTTTTTTGAGCAGTCCTTTTAAAGTTTACTAACCATCCTGCTGTGCTAGTCTGTTGATATTTTGAAGTCTGAACAGAACTGTAAAATAAATGAAGTTGATGTTGCTCATCTGGAGTCTGAATACGGGTCTGTTATAATTTCCACTAGCTACCCTGTGTGCCTCAGAGCACCTCCCTGAATAAGTGGCCAGTTACTATGTACTTTGGGATTGCAAATGAATACAAATATTAGCTAATGCTAGGAGTAATTGAGAAGGTATATATGCTGAGAAGATATTCCAAAACTGAAATCGGTTATTTAAAAAATTTTCCCATTTTGGATTATCAGCACCTTTCTGCCGTTAATTATCCATTAACATGAATAATTTAGAATTGAACAGCTATCCACTTTGGACTTTATGCATTCCAGCAGGAAGGGAAAATGGAAGGAAGATATTTCCCAAACTATAAATTTTTTTGTTGCCCGATTTGACTTACCCGTTTCATTTAATGCCAAAAACTTCCTTGTGAATAAAAACACCACCTAAACCTTTGCCAAAGGAAGGGCTGTCTGCTGACTTGTATTAAGGCAGGCTGACCAGTAATGAATGCTAATTGTTAGTTGGACTTGGTGGAGTTATGTCACCAGCAACTTGGAAATTTTCCTGAACCTTTACTTAATCTCTTTCTTTTGGGATATCTATTGAAAATTTAATTTGGAGGGTAAGATCTAATTTTTAAAAATCACATATCCTCTCAGAGTCTGCTGATCAATAATTCTTTCAATATGCGAGTTGGTTTGTGTCAATATTAGTGATCATATTTGGTAAATTCTATTATGTCTGTATTTAGCAACTCTCCCTAGTTGAACTACATATATAATTCCGCGTGGATAGGAGTGAGGATTGGGGGGTTAAATACACCAAGGTTAAATACACCACCACTATTCCCAGTTTTCAGAAGGCTTTGTTTGGAATTTTGAGATTCAGTATGATTAACCAAGTGAATTATGATGGAATAACTCAGTACTAAAAATAAGTTCTGTTTGTTATGGGGGGCACTGAGTAACATTTGTCAAAAGCTTTAGCGGTCCTAAATGTCTCAGGCATGCTAAGGATGCTGGCAGAGGACATTGTAAGGAAGCACCCCTTCTCACTCAACATTCATCCCGTCAAGAGAAGACTCCCTAAACATCGCTTTAAAATGTGACTTCAGCAGTAGGTTTCCCGTGGGAGCTGTGCAATGGCAGACTGGAATCTTCTCAACAGCCCCTGATAAATTAGATAATTAAAATCTGTGGAACTGGAATGTAGTTGCAGGGCAGTTTTATCATGAATGCCAGAACTCAGTTGATGTTTTAGTATGATAGAAAGAGGGAGTTGATTTTTTTTTTTTAAGTAAGAAGTCCTTGCCAAATAATGATTGAATACTGAGATGGATAAAGCAGTCTCTAGACTCCAGCGACAGGTTTTGGGAAGATATAAAAGGTGTAAAGACAGGTGTTTTTGCCCTTGGGATGGGGTGGGGTTAGGGAAGGCGGTATACAGTAAATGGAAAGGCAGACTATTATAAGCTTTAACATTTAGGAAACAACATAGAAACAAAACCAAATATGATTGCCATAAATGCAGTATGTAAAGTCTAGAAAACTTGAAGTAACAAAAGAAGAATGAGTTGAATTAGGAACTGTTTCTGAATCAGTAAAATTTGAAATGGACTTCGGAGGCACTGGATTAGAGTCACAAAGAGGCAGGGACTACAGAGTTAGATGAAACTTGGTTCATATCTTGGTTGAGGTCTATACTATGTGACCTTGGACAATGTACTTCATCCTTATCTATAAAATATGTGTGAGTATTCAAGTAAATGTTAGGAGTAAAGAAAAGATCTTCCAGGCGGAAAGTATAGAATGTACAGTATGAATGACAAAGTTGTGTTTGTCGGAATAAAAGAGAGTGACTGCAGGGAATGTGGGTTGGTCAAGTCCTGGGTAGAGCAAGCAAGAGGGTGGAGGAGACTCAGTGGCCAGACTCTGTTGTGTGTTGATAGAAGGGTCAATAGAGTCATTGTAGGTCCTTGAACAAAGGATGGATTTAATAAGGAGTATCGAGCCTTCTGGTTCAGGAACTCAGGGACAAGGAATCAGGCAGGCACCGGTACATTGTGACTCCTGCTTCTCTTCTGGACCATCCTGGCTTAAAAGGATCAGCCAGGAGACATAAGATTCCTTGTAGAAGTTTTTGTATTCGTGCACCTTACTCACTATGCTGAGCTCTGCTTGTGTTTGTCTCCCATTGTACCGATCTGTGGGGAAGTCTCAAGACTATGGCAGGATTCTCCTCAAGAGCTTATGGTAAGGACAGTATCATATTTTCAGTACAGTTAACTTTCTCTGCTAGTGTAGAGAGCACTAGCATTGGTAATTCAGAACTTAATAAATTTCTTGGCTTGAAAAACATTATTTTTTAACCAGATTTATATTCGTGTTTTGGGATCGATCATACTACTGTTGAAATGAATCTGCAGTTCTAAGCTTGTATTACCTGATGGTGACGAGAACAGTCAATCTTAAATTAAAGCTTTTGGCTCAGAAATCCATAAAATGAAAAACCCATTTGAGGACAATTAAGACTAGACTGCATATGTTAATGAACAATTTCTTTTCAAAATCTGTGTGAGTCCAATATGGCCCCTCAGGCTGTCTAGGCACCTTATCCTTAAGAGTGAGTGGTAGATGTTGCAGCCAGAATGAGTCTTCACTCACAGTATTTGGAGGAATCTTACTGTCATATGTTGCATTGTTAAAGATTAAGGTGGCTTTTTCAAAAGACCCGTGCTTTGTAGAGGCTCTTCCAGATGTTAGCTCCACTGAAAATCTGTCAGATCTTCCCTCCTAAAGTAAACTTGTTTGAAAATATGGCCAATTAAAAAAAAAAAAGAACAAGAAGTGTCCACATTTAAAAATGAATAAAATCACACAGCTGTTCTTTCAACCTTGTTCTTTCAGTCTACTTGCTTTCCTTCACGCCTACCTGCCCCCCACCCCCACCTTCCCATCATCATTACCAAACTATGTGCTTGTGATGTCATGAGCACAGGATTATTACTTACTCTTGAGTCAGAATATTGTAGTATCTCAGCTGGAAATCACAGGTGGAAATTCAGGAATCTTAGTGCAGTTCAGGATTATTTTCAACTGTGATTTTTAGGATTATGTTTTATCCCTTTATTTCTTGGAAGAAATAGTTTTGGATAGGAGAAATCACTAAACTATTATTTTTAATGACCTGCTCCGAGTTTAGCTCTATGCTAGATGAGGTGGAGGATTAGATAAAAGGACAATTTTGTGCCCTTGAAGAGTTTACAGTCCAGTTAGGAGTAAGGAGAACGGGAAGAAATGACTATTGAGCTTCTGTTATGCCACACAAATAAAATTTTAAAAAATGTGCAAGTATATTTTCTATTGCATAGTACACACTTTATACCGTAGGTATTTTGAGAGAAGAATACTCAGGTACTTATGAATGATGTCACAGAGGAATTGGAACTGATTCCAGATCTTAAAAAATAAAATGGTATTAGGTACAAGGAATGAAGAAAATAACAAAAATTATTTCATTTTGAAGCTGAGAAGGGATCAAGCAAAAGCCTGGAATAGGGATATACTCAGGATGCTCTTGGGTCAGTGGTAAGACTGAGTAGCAGTAAATAGTGAAACAAAGGTAGTTAGGATGGTTTGGAGCTATGTTTATAAGGGGTCTTAAAAGCCAGGCTTATAAGTTTAGATTTTGAATGATAGAAGATTGTGAACCACTGAGAAATTTTGATTGGGATAGTAATATGATGATAGTAGGGAACAAGGTTGGCTTGTAGGGAAGGGAAATTTGGCACCTGTGGTGTGTGAGGTGATTCACTAGAGTTGTGTGGAGAGTGGAATAAGGAGAAGAAAGAAAAAGAGATTGCGAAGGAAAAATTGAAATCATCTGGACTGGACAGTGAAGATGAAGGGGAGTGATCAAGTATGTCTATGACAGTTTGAGCCTGGGTTTCTAAGATATTGACTGAAATAGAGAAGATAGGAAGGTTTTGTCTTTTCTTTTTTAGGGGAATACGATGAGTTCAATTCGAGATGTGTTGGATCTAAAGCGACAATGAAACATCCAAGCGAAAGCTGTCCCTGTTGTTAGAGATGAGCCTAAAGCGGGCAGAGAGGTGGGGGTTACTAGCTTGCAAGTGTGGTTTTGCAGTTCTTTAGCATAGATGTAGCTGTGGCCAAGAGAATGAATAAGGTGTCTGAAGACTAGAATTTCGGGAAAGAACAGAAGGCCAAATCTGATGGTACCGATAAACACTAATGATTCTCCACTCTTCAGGCCATCCCAATTGATTCTTCCTTCTCCTTCCTATTTTCTTTTTTTAAAATACATTTCTTTACTGATTTCAGAGAGGAAGAGAGAGGGAGAGAGATAGAAACATCAACGATGAGAGAGAATCATTGATCGGCTGCCTCCTGCACGCCCCCTACTGGGGATCGACCCCGCAACCCAGGCATGTGCCCTTGGCCTGAATCGAACTGGGACCCTTCAGTCCGCAGGCTGACTCTCTATCCACTGAACCAAGCCGGCTAGGGCTCTCCTTCCTATTTTCTATGCCTCTACTCCAGTGGTTCTCAACCTGCATATCAGATATTTACAGTACGATTCATAACAGTAGCAAAATTACAGTTATGAAGTAGCAATGAAAATAATTTTATGGTTGGGGGTTACCACAACATGAGGAACTGTATTAAAGGATCGTGGCATTAGGAAGGTTGAGAACCACTGCTCTACTCCCTACTCTAAATCCCTGGACTGAGTGTCGTCTTGTAAGCATTGTTTTAGGAACAGGAATCAGATGAGTCAGACAAGGTCTCTACCTACAAGAGTCTAGTGGGAGGAGACAGATGTGCAAATACCTAGATGGAATGAAGGTTTAGAGATGCTGCACTAGAAGTACGTAGGGGAGAAAGTGGGGGCCTGAGGTCAGTTCTGCCTTGGGCACACATACTTTTGAAAGTGCCTCCCAGAGGAAAAGACATTTGAGCTGTCTTGAAAGATGAGTTAAGGGTATACCGTACAGAAGACAGGGAGAAAGAAGTACACTGCAGGCTGAGAACACAGCATGAACAAAAGCTTAAAGAAACGAAACAGCCAGGCTTCTTCAGGTAACTTTTAATAATTATTTTGGCTGGAGGCCAGGGTTGGAGGGCAGGGGTGAGACTGGGGAAGTAGGTAAGTCTGATCACAGACAGCTTTATCTTGTGCTGAAATAAACAATGAATCATATTGGGTGATAAAGTAAATTTCATGTTCTAGAAAGATCTTTTGTCAATGGTGTGTAGACAGTGGATTGGAGAGGAACAAAATGAAGGCTTTAAAAATAACCTTATTATACTTAACAGTAACACATTTGTTGTTGAGTGATCATGTTTATAGAATCGTGGAATAACTACAGGGATTGTTATGCTTTGTTAGTCTCCCTTGTTCATTTTCAAATGGAATGCCTGAGCTTTACTCAGGCTCACAGAAGTAGTTTTAGTGATAGGTTGGTCTGGAATTCAGTCTTCAGTGCCTGTAAGGTGGCAGGTGATTAGTAAATGTTAGGTCACCTCTTAACGTCCTTCGCAAGTCCCATTCTAGTGTCCTTACATTCTCACACACTGTATTGTGCCAGAAGACAGAGGGATTTCTGTCATCCGTCCCATTGTCTGTTTACCAGTCCGACGAACTTTTCCCAGGTCTGACTGTGGAAGATCTGCCCTGAGATTACCTTGGGGAATAGGGACCTTTGACCTTGGACAGTTGGATGCCCTGGAGTGGAGTGAAGAGGATGTTATTATTCAGCTGTAATGATTCAGTTGTAGAAGAATGTCAAGGTATTTGTTTTTATTGAGTGTACAGATGTATTTATCTCTCCTGCTAAGTTCCCTGCAAATTGTTTTCGTTTAAACTTGGTTTACATTGTACCAGTGAAACTTTGGTAAAAGGAAGAAATTGGGCATTGACAAAAAAATATATCTAAAAAAATACATACAAGATATGTCATTATAGTTGGGTTCTAAATCTGCTCAGTATTTTTTATTTCATTGGATTTTTTTGTGAGGAAAATTGGGTGTAACATGCTAAAGAAGTTTGGATTTTGTGTTTTAGTCATTTTTGCTGGAGAATAGTCTAAGAACAGGATAAAGGACATCGTAGAGGGCCTTAGATTTCAATCCCTGGTGAAAGTTGGGACACAAGGGGATGTGAAGGATGGATACCTTCCATTGATAAGTTTTTCTTAAAACTTAACTGAGTTGTGATTTCTTCACTCTTTTCTCTGGCTCTGTCAACATCTTCAGAAGAAGGGCCTTGGCTTGGAAACTGTCCACTTTAGCAGAGCTGCCAGTTCTTAATTCTTTCTCAAGTGGGCAAGGGTACATTTTGTTTTTGTTTGTGAGCGTTTGGAGGAGGGGAGGAGAGATAGGCGCAGAATAGCTACTCACAGTGAGTCTTTATCTGAATTCCTATGTAACTGGAAGTTTCCTTGGCTTCATTTTGGGGAGATGACTTGATTACACCGGCATTTATGTTATGTGGAAGGTGGGTCTTACTCCCCTCAGATATATGATTTAGGATGGCAACAACAACTTCTTTCTTGTTCATATTTGTCAGCCCCATTCCATCTGTTCTAGGTGCCTTTTGTGCACACTGTGTGAGGGAGAGGAAGAGTCTCCAGTCTCAATAAGTGAATCAATTGTTACCTTCAAGTTTAAGGAACCCATTCTGCTCCTGACTGTTGTTATTTTATTTTTTAAATATATTTTTATTGATTTCAGAGAGGAAGGGAGGGGGTGGAGAGAGAGAGAAATATCAGTGATGAGAGAATCATTGATGGGCTGCCTCCTGTGCGACCCACAATGGGGATCGAGCCCACGAGCCGGGCATGTGCCCTGACCAGGAATCGAACCATGACCTCCTGGTGCATAGCTTGATGCTCAACCACTGAGCCATGTTGGCTGGGCCTGACTATTATTTTTATGTTAATGACTCCACTATTCCAGCACCTGGTCCTTAATTTAAAATTTTTGGATAATGAGATATTTTAAATACTATTTAGAAAAGTTCAGGGGAGAAACTGTAACACAGTTTTGAGCCAACAACCCAAATGTAATGGGTATTAACATTTTGTCATATTTGTTTTAATGTCTTGCTCACTTTAAGATATAAAATGGTAACCCTAACCAGTTTTGCTCAGTGGATAGAGCTTCATCCTGCGGACTGAAGGGTCCCAGGTTCGATTCCCGTCAAGGGCATGTACCTTGGTTGTGGGCAC